CACTAATTAGTAGCTTTAGAATTTTCCATAATACTCGCATGAAAATGTACTGCGCGGAAAAATCCAGACTAAATCAAGCGAGCACTCACTTTGATGTGCAACGACAATATGGATGGGGGAGACGGGTAGACAAATGAATGAAAACTGGGAAAAACCGGACTAAGAGAGGGGCACGGCACACCCACCTCCAATGCATTGACTAAGTTGTCAGCAATCCCACCTAACTATAGAGAATAGAGGGTAACCAAACACGCCCACTCGCCACGTCACAACATATTTTTATGTATGTCTGTACGTACGTTTAATTTACTTTCTCTAATAATTTCTGTAGAAAATTCCAATTGCACATGTGGGACTTTATATTGCCAAGCAGCAAGCAGCACTGGAAACCAATTAAAATGCTGCCCTGGCTCTGATTATGTCTTTCTCTTGCTCTCTCTCTCTCTCTATTTGTGTTTGTTTGTGTATGTCGCAGAGTAAGACAGGAGGTATGTATGTGCCTGTTCTGCTTGCTCCGCGTGTTGGTGTGAATAGATTGGTATGTGTCAACTAAGTGCAGTTAATTAGTGCGAAAATCACTTCAGTTGTCTGGGGATATACTTTTTCGTTCGCCTTCTCAACATTCCTTCCTTCGTTCACTTCATTCTATCAAACTTATTTTTAGCTCTTTTTATACCCTTGAAGAGAGTGTTTACGGTTTTGCTCGACACACAGAACGGCTTGGAATTATTAAATTTGTTTTGTTAATTCGCACAAAGAAATAATAGTGACACCGCATAGAGACAATTAAAAATTCAAATAGAATAGAATTTCTCCAGGGTGACAATATTATAAATATAGATTTAAAATAATTAAAATAAATATCAATGGGATTGTTTCAATGAAATTATTTTTTTAAACATGTTTCATATTTACAATAAATATATTTCACATCGAAATTCGTCCAAATAACGTTTTCATTAAGACCAGGTAACTGCCCAAATGTTACACTTAACAGCTCACCAATTCCACAAAGTACCTGTGTAAAGTATCTCGGCTTGCATCTCGACCGCAGATTAACATGGAAAAACCACATTAAAGCAAAATGTCAACATCTTAGACTTAAAACACTTAAAATGTCCTGGTTGATAAGTCGAAAATCAGAAACCACTTTTGGAAAACAAAATTCGTCTCTACAAATCCATACTGAAGCCTGTTTGGACTTACGCTATACAGCTTTGGGGGACTGCTAGCAACTCAAATATTGAGATACTTCAGCGTTACCAATCAAAAACTTTGCGACACATTGTCAATGCTCCGTTTTACGTATCTAATGCAATTATCCACAAAGATCTGAATATTCCAACAATTAAAGAAGAAATAAAGAAAACTAGTAAGAAATACATCGTCAGACTCCACAACCACGAAAATAATTTAGGCTTAAGTCTATTAGACAATAGCTTAACAGTAAGAAGACTGAAAAGATACCACATTCTCGATATCCCTGATAGATAAATCCAACAAACTGAAAAGATGGAATATATAATAGAAGGGCTCATTGGAAAACTGATATTTCTGTTAATTGAACATTAATTATGCAATTTACTTATTGTTTAAACAAACAGATTGTAAATATAAAGAGAGAGAAACAAAAAAAAAAACATCGAAATTAAATATGTTCCTATTTAAATTTTATATTATTTCTATATATTTAATTTATTACATTTATTTTAAAGATTGGATTTGGATTAAAAAATTTGTCAAATACAAATATTCTTAGTGCATTAATGATGCACTAGTGCGAGATCAACATGAATTATATTTTATTTGTTTATATTTCCATTTAAACTATGAATATTTAATTTAAATATGGTCGTTTCTATTTACTACTATACCTATACTTCTCTCCGAATGAGGTTAAATATATTTATCTGCAATTAAAAATTGACAAAAATTTAAAAATACATATTCGTTAAAGAGTATCTACATGGTCAGTCCCTAACTACTATTTCCGTCTTATTTTTAAAGTTGTTGTGTTGTTAGCACGTCCCCTCATCTCACACACTGAAACACACACACAAACAGAACGGATTTTTCCTTGGCGAATTTTCACGTTAATTGCTCTGCGCTGTGCTTCAGCGGCTTCAATCAGGCAGAAAGCAGCTTGAAACGAAGCAAAACCACGAAGGGATTTACTCAATTTTGCTGTCGCTTCATTCAACAATTTATGTTTGTTTTCTGCTCGTAGCCTCACACTATTTATACCCGGTACTCGAAGAGTAAATAGGGTATATTGAATTTGTGCACAAAGTGAATGTATGTAACGCACAGAAGGAAACGTTTCCGACCCCATAAAGTATATATATTCTTGATCAGCATCAATAGCCGAGTCGATTGAGCCATGTCTGTCTCTCCGTCCGTCCGTCCGTCTTGTTGAGCGCCTGGATCTCAGAGACCATAAAAGCTAGAGCCACCAAATGTTACATCCAGACTTCTGTACGCTCACACTGTTACAAGTGTATTTCAAAAATGAGCCCGCACCCTCAAAAGGCGAAAACCTCCCAAACCTACAGTTTTGAAAATAAAAGAAAACTATAAAAATTCCGTAGGGAATGACCATATCTATCAGATCACCGAATTGGGAACCGATTGGATCATTATTATAGCCAGAATGAAGAAATTAATATACTATGTAAAAAATGTAAAATTTGACAAAACACCGCTAAGGTGCAGATGTAGTACTGAGTGCCGGGTATAAAAGAAGAAGCGTAAGAAGCGTCTCACACGTCCCTTCTCGTTTTTTTCTGCTCTTATCCCTCACACTTTTGTTTGGGTAGTTTTCTAGATTTATTTTAGTTTTATTTTGACATCATAACATTTAGTTGGATTAGTTCTGCCATTTCCACACATGCTCTCTGATGTAAATTTATCATGAGATCTATCAACATCTCTGTGACTTCAACGGACAATATGGTCTTTTATGAGTTTTCGGCAAATTGCATGATAAGTGTCTCTAATAGGATCTAAAACTTCTTAATTAGAAACTGCTTAAAATATGCCTTCGAGCTTATGCCGGCGGGCATACACGAGGCTCCGTGTGGGCGGGCAAGGTTCACATTTGATGAGAGCGAGCACAGACAGGTGGCTGGGCCTGAGAGCGTACCAAAAGGTGCACGCTGAGAGACGTAGAAGACTTTGCGGTGCATTACTGCTGCTATTGCAAGAGTGTATACTGCTTGTGACAAGCACAGCTCGCAGATCAAAAAAAGATGGAGAGACATGAACTTGAATTCTAAAGTCTCAACCAATTTCTTTCTCTCACGGTTTCCCCTCAAATATACTTACACAAAACATCAACTAAAAGACTTCCTATTTCACTTTAGTTGAAATTCTGTTCGTTACGATCCAAATGAGACATGTTTTGCCAAGGAAACTAGCTCAAGTTTTGGGCCAAGCTAAGGTAAAACGAGAATGGACGTGTGAGACGCTTTTTACGCGTCACAATTTTTATACCCGGCACTCAGGACTACATCTAGATGTAGAAGACATCGCCAACCACTAGATATCGTTCACATTACAGAACACGTAGTAAAAAGAATACTAAATAAAATGCATCAAAAATATTGGATCAGTTAATCGTATTTTCCAATTTATGAGATATTTAAAACAGCAATAAAACTGGTACTTTTTCCCTGCACATTCTGTGCAATAATGACCGCTAGGTTTCACAGCAGCTCAACCGACTCGGCTATGGATGCTGATCGAGAATATATATACTTTATGGGGTCGGAAACGCTTCCTTCTTTGCGTTAGATACAACCGTTGTTCCACACAAATACAATATACCCTATTTACTCTTCGAGTACCGGGTATAAAAAAAATTAATTTTTTCCAACAAAAGTGGTTGTTGAAACCATAGTGCGTTGGGTTAGGATGAAGGAGTGCAGTGGCAAAAGGCAAGTCTTGTACAAGAACGGGGGAAAAGGAAAAGTGCATAAAAAGAAGAAAAAGTCAACGGACGAGACTTGGCCTGGCCAAGGGGGCCAAAAAGGAATTGGTTTGTCCCCGAAACAGAGTCAGCTGTGCGCCACAGAAGACTGCCAAAAAGATTGCACTACGAAGTAGCAACAAAAAAAACACCGTATTAAACTCTATGAGGGACACACGATGGAGCCAAAAGGACAACAACATCATGTCAGTTCAGGGCAAGGGGCAGAGGAAGGCAAACGAAACCAATTGAAGAAATGTTGCTGACACCAAAAACGAAACTGCAAGAAGACGATGACGATGACGATGAGGACGATGACGAGGACGATGACGAGAAGATCGAGGAAGAGGCGGGGAATAAGGCAAAGCACGAGGATTGTGAGAGGACAGACACCAAGGACCATGGACAACAACGAAATTAGTTAGCACTTAAGAGAGAAAGCAGCTTTGGCTCAGGTCCAGGACTCGCTTGCAGGATTACAACACCTGCGGGTAAAGGGCCCCGGATCCAGACACCGAACGGAGCAGCAGCATTTCTTGCTCTTTCTCCACTGCTGTCGATGTTGTTTTTTGTTTTATCTTGTAGATATGGTCCAATAGGTAAGTCATGTTTAGGAAGAGCAATGAAGGGGAAAAACTATGTGTAAGGAGAAGGTGCATTCAGGGAGTTTTTTTTCATCAATTGAGCGATCAATAGCCCCATATACAATAGTTTAATAATACAAAGTTTTGGAAGCTATTTATGGCTAATAAAACTTATTAAAGACTTTTTCTTTCTATTTCTTGTATTGATGCCAGTAAAAAGTGCTTTATAAATGTTGCCTAGGCACTACGTGCCTGCAACTCGTGCTGTGGACTCATCTCTAGGAAAAAACCCCAGTTGCGAAACACTAAGGGCAGCAATTGAATAGCTTTCAGCGGGCCGAACTCAATTTCAGAAATTTCATTAACTGTTGAGAGAACTTACGAGCGCTTACTCCCCCATTCCAAACCATCAACAAACTACAAATATCTACTCTGATCTAGCAACTCACCTATTTTACTTTCTGCTGACATTTGGATGCTTCTTACGAATGAATTTCAATACTTGTATTCTTGTCTATTGTACTTTATTTTCACTTATGAATACTATTATTTTTATTTTTAGTTGCACTTTTTTTTATAATAAAAGCATAGAAAATGACGCGGTACTGCCGAAAACTTAACACAATAGAAATTTAGCCAATTAGAACGGAATAAAAAAATTTTGATTAAAATATAGGTATTATACGCTACACAATCTGATCTGGGACTGAACTACAAATATTTGTAAGGCCCCCAAGAAGGCAATCACAAGGACTGCTGCGATGGGCAACATCTTTTCAATTTTTGTTTTCGAATTGGAGCGAAAGATGCACGGGAAAGCGTGGCCAGAATAAAATGTATATCAAAATAATGAAAAAGACTGACGTGTTCCATTTTAGTCCACAGGGTGAAAGCATTTTCAAAGTACAAAAATCAGGTGGCAAGCAAAAACTATCGTCTCCATTTTTCAGTATACAAAATAAAAACTTTATACTCAAGTGAGAACTTTGAAACTTAACATAAATGACATGCGACAGGAACAGGGAAAGAAGGCTACAATTCCATTTGATTCATATGTTGATTGTATCTCTATATCTCAATTGTCCTTTTTCACAGCCGCCTACAGTTTAACATTAAAAATAGTTCATACAAAAAAAAATGTAAGCTCTCGCCAAAGAAGTCATTTGCTAAAATGTAGTGGGGAAAAGGAACGAGAAAATAAAGCAACAGAGGGATTAGATAAGGTAAATCAACAAGAAATTCAATGATTCTGAAAATTTTCTGGCCAAATTCCAATTGAAGGCAAAACAAAACTCACGTTTCTAATCAATTAAAATATAAAAGAAATCGAAAAAAGTCAGTACTGATGCAGTTTGAAATGTGTCGAATGGTAGACACCTTGTTTTTCTGGTAAACTATCAACAGAAAGAGATTTCTTGTACAGTATCTACAGAGTGTCCCTTTTATTCAAAAATAATTTAAACCATTAGTAAGTATAGTATAGTATATAGTATAGTAATTAATACAATTTAAAAAGGTTCAATTTGAGAACCTTTCTTCTGCATGCATCCAAAATTACCTCAAATAAATATTATCTGTATGGCAGAGGGTATTCAAAATCAAGAGAACGAACTATTTTCGGCCATAAATAAATAAAAACAATAGAATGCAGCCAAAGCAATTAAGAGGGGTACGCTGTGCGAGGTATGGTAGCTGTGCGGTAGCAGTTACAGAGGGAAAGAGAGTAGAGTTTGTACAACTTATTCCGTCGGCTGCAATTTTAATTACGACTGAGATAAGAGCACGAGGAAAGAAATGGGTAAAGAAGGGAAAACGAACTTAAAGGCATATGCAAGACAAAGACAAGCAAAAGGAAGGAATGAAGACAGAGTCAGGCGGCAATAACAGCAACAGCTCCTCAACTAATCCTTTAGCAAAGACTTTGACAGTTTCTCTTGGCTCGGAAACGTCATTAGCAAATACATCGTCTTCATCATCATTGCGGGAGTGAAACAATAAAACAAAAGCAAAATAAATAGCAACAAACATTTATCGCACATCATTTTCGTTGTCATTCAGAGAGCGTTCCACAGCTTAAAATTCCCCCATACCCGCTAATACCAATCGCAAGCTCTATTTTTCTCACCCCCACGCTACACAACAACGTTTCACAATCTTATATTTTCCCACTCTCGTGTAGTGCTCTGCTCTCGCTTATTCCGATGAGTGTATGCGTTTGCTTATTTATACCCTGGCAGAGGGCATGATGATTGAAGTGCATAAATGGATGCATTTTTTGTTGATTTGTGCAGGTTATTACGTTTCATAGATTCTTAAATTCATTTAAACACAAAAGCGACCTGCCATTTCAACCAAAGCAAAGAGTTTTAAGAACCTTATTTCCCCGTCGCTTCCCCTCATACCTTGCTGTTGTGTTTAGTTTTTATTAGCGTCATTATTTTCGCTTGCCATGGCGCTAAGCATCTTAAGTGGCTCCGCTTCCGTCTCCCGACTTCCACCTGTTCTCCTTCTCTTCTTCTGCTGCTCATCACGTTGTGCTCGACTCTCTTTCGCTCACTCTTTCGCTTTGTGTGTGGGCGCGTGTGATTGTGTGTGCGTGTTTGCATAGGCGCAAAACGTATTCGTCAACTTTTGACGACTTTATAATGTAACTTTCGGTGTTCAGCTCTGCCTGCTGTCTCCATCACGGCTGGTTTTCTTCTATCCTATGCACTGCCTTTGCTGCTAATCTTCCGAAAACGTGTGTAACAAAACTATACAGCACTACAGACAAATTTAAAATTCAAATTCAAATTCAACATTTTTCACGCACATTTTCGAGATTGTTTTTTAATTCCAAAGATATATTGATATCCCGTGAAAACACGCACAAATTTTAGTTTTGTTTAAATATATTTTTTGTATACAACAGCTGGGAAAACTTAACTGTATACTTTTGACACGCACCCTACCCACTAATACTCTCGCTCACTCTCCCTCTGCCGCGCTGCTTCTTAGTTTCAAAAACAACTTAATATGCATTAAGAGAGTGGATCTGAGAGTGCTGACGGATGGGTAAGAGAATAATAGTTTAGGACAATTCTAGAGCAAGTAAATTAAGGTGGTAAGAGGGAGAAAGATAAGCTGACTTTTTGCAAGACCTATTTTTCTCTTTTGTGCTGCAGTGAACAACGCATTGTTTTTTATAGTAACAGAATAAGAACAATTCTGTTAATATATATGCTGCGATTAATTCCATTGGGTATTTTAGAAGAGAGAGCTATTTGGTATATGAAAAAGGTATGACAAATCAGTTCATTAAGACTCTTAAACGAAACTATAAATATTCTCAAATCGCCCATTTAAAGGTCTTGACCCATTAACATTTCCTTTGGCTATTTGCGGCTCATTTAATTTCTTACAATACAGACACACACAAAATTCAATTAAAGAAACGGCAGTAAAAAGCTCTTAATAAGAACAGCTCCTTATTAGTTCTCGGATATTCATAGTTTTTCACCCTTGGTAGCTCTTCGAAAAATTAGGATCTGGCAATCAGATACCAAATGGTTGTTTTATATTCATAAATTTCCATTTGTTCTGTCAGAGTTGTTGCATTTTGTAAAAACGAAACAAAATCGTTTTCAACCAAAACATACATATGTATGTATGCATGTATGTTAAAACAGACATGCTAAAAGCTGATGCCGATGTAGAAAAGCAGTAAACAGGAAGCTTTAAATGCAAGACATGCGAACAGGAAAACAATAAGAACCCAACCCAACACACAAACATTTTACAAAAGTCAACATAGAGAACAAGAAAATGACATACAAAGAAAAAACACAAGTAAGAATATTAATTTAACGATGGACGAAAAGTTTGATGCTCTTGCTGAAGGGGCAACATTTTACAAAGATGGATAGTCTATTAATTATTTTAGGGATTTATTTTCAGATTGTTTACTTTAAAAAATTATTATATAATATTTTACCACTGGCACAAACAGAAAACTAATATGAACGTACAACATACAATTAGCAAACACTTGAGGGAATAATGTAAGGAAAAAGAAGATATAGAAGGACACACTAAACTCAACACGTAGCTAACAAGCAGCAGAGGAACAACAGCTAAACATAAATATGTAAGTGTCTTTTTCTACCTCAAACATCTCTCCTAATGCAATACTATACTATACGCTACCTGAGCTTTATCTATATTTTTGTCTCTTTCTCCTTAATAATGAAAAATCTTTAAATTGTATGTAAGCTCCATCGTTAGACGAGAGAGAAACAAGCAATGCCGTTCCCGCTCAGACAGAAGGGGAAATCTCGTTTCCTGGTGGCCTTCCCGAGGGCCATAAATAATATTATTATGGGTTCCTGTAGGCAACTTGTATTTGTCAAAGCAAACAATACTTATTTGTATGTGTGTGTCTACTTGTTAACGGCATTATTATTGGCAGACATTATTCATGCAACAAGTGAGACCACGATTCTGGCTGGCGAAGGGAGAATCTTCGATTTCCCGTCTAATTATAACTAATTTAATTGGACTTAAGGTACCAGTAATTGTCAGTTGATTTGTGCTAAAATGACGATAGCTTGCTTACTGTTACTAGAGAGAAAAATTGGTAAAATGAAGTGGGGGAAACACTTAATAATAATTATTATCAACATGTACAAATTCTTTTAAGATTCTAAAGAGTTTGCTCTTTTAGACGGATTAACTTTAACTTTTTCCCTGTAAACACAGGGACTTCTCCTTGATAATTAATTCCCACCCTAATAAGAAATTCATATCCATTTTTATACCCGGTACTCGAAGTATATATATTCTTGATCAGCATCAATAGCCGAGTCGATTGAGCCATGTCTGTCTGTCCGTCCGTCTTGTTTGTCGGCTAGAGCCACCAAATTTTGGCTCCAGACTACTGTATGCTCACACTAAAACCAGTGTTATTCAAAAATTATCCCCTCCCCCTTCCGCCCCCGCAAAAGGGAGAAAACCTCCCTACAATTTTGAAGATAAAAGAAAACTAAAAACGCCATTCCGTGGGGAATGGCCATATCTATCAGGTCACCAAATTGGATTATTATTGTAGCCACAATAATGAAATTAATTTCCAGTGGCTAAACCCACCCTGTCCCACAGCTTTTGTTGTTCTTTTTACATTTTCTCATTCACACTCTGCTTCTGCATCACTCGGCCTCTGCCTCTGCCCTCCCCCTGCCACTGACTCTTCCGACTTTTAACCCACCCAGTCCCGCAGCTTATATTTGAGGCGCTGCCTCTGCCTCTGCCGCGAGTCTGCAGTGTGTGGGTCTAGGGAAGGGCGGCGAGCTAAAGGAGCGTGTTGGTGTGAGAAGTGTTGTAGATGTAGATGACAGTTGAAGAAAAAATTAAAAATTTGACAAAACACCGCAAAGGTGCAGATTGAGTGCCGGGTATGAAAGTTGTGACGCGTAAGAAGCGTCTCACACGTCCCTTATCGTTGTAAATCTTTTAAGCTAATAATTATTATAACAGAAAAAAACTGAAATATATTTCATTAAATAAATTTCAAGAATGTTTTATGAAAAAACTCCTTAGTACGCAAAGGCACGCATTTAATAACAATTTTTTAACAATTAAGTTACCATTACAAAATTTGCGAATTAAAATAAAATAGTAAACGGGGGAAAACCCTAATTGACCCATATTGTCAGCAATAAAAACAACAAAAAACACGCAAAACAGATAACCCAAGCAAAAATTTTTAATAACTGTATAATATACCGATTTTTTGTATAAGGCAAAAACACATGTAATTTTTTGTAATGACAAGTAAAGAAAGAAACAGATGA